GGAAGATGGGAATTGTACAACGGAGCCCACACGGCCTGCATGTTATCCAGTGATGAGAAAGGTTTGGGTTTCCCCAAGGTTCTCTTCCATTCGTAACCATCCATGAGCATCTCAAAAATCTATTTTAAAAGCATATGTGGAAAGTCATTGTATGTATTGTATCAATGCTTTTTACAGACACACAGAGAGAAAGACAGAGCAAGAAAGAGAGACAGATACAGAGAAAGAGACACACACAGAGATGACAGACAGTGAGGTACAGAGACAGTGAAACAGCAAAAGACAGAAAGAGACAAAATGAGAGACAGAGACAGAAGAAGACACAGAGACAAAGAGCAAGAGAGAGAGCTAGAAGACAGACAGAGGCAGGCAGCACAGAACAGAGAGAAGCGGAGAAAGAAAGAGTGCCAGAGAGAGTAAACAGAAAGAGACAGCACAGAGCAGACAGACAGACATAGAGGACAGAGACAGAGCCAGACACACAGCGAGACACAGAGACAAAGCAAGCGTGACAGAGGGTGAGAAAAAGGCAGACAGATAGATACAGAGAGAGACAGAAAGTGAGAGGGAGACAACAGACACAGTGAGTGAGAGACACAGAATAGAGTGAGAGACAGAGAGCGAGACAGAGACAGAGACAGAGCAAGAGAGATACTGAGACAGAAACACAGGAAAAGAGCAAGACAGCACAGAAGAGAGAGAGGCAGCAACAGATGGAGAAACAGAGAACCAGACACAGAAGAGAGAATAAGACAGAGAAAGATTAAGAGCACAAAACAGACAGAGGCAGAGCCAGACAGACACGGAAATAGTCATACAGAGACAGACACAAAGCGACAGAACAGAGAGACAGAGGCAGAACCTGGCAGAGAGACACAGAGTCAGAGACACACAGAATAACAAAGAGACAGCGACCTGAAGGCATTAGGCGTTCTTTCAGTACCTGTGGTTTTCACAGGAGGACGCTCGCAGGACTCGGGGGAGCTCTGGGGGCCTCGTCACACCCGCCCTTTCTTCCTGCTCACACAGAGGAGGACATGGTACCTTCTAACCCAGATTGTGTGCGGTGTTTCAGGAACCAGGGTCCCCCGTGGCCATGCTCTTTAGAAACACTCCAGGAATGGAGCCAATCCTTAGACTGCAAAGGGAAAAAGGACAATGTATATTTAAATCCTGTCTCCACACAACGTTATTTGACTCCCACGCATCTCTTTTGTGTAGTTCACCTGTCTTGGATTGCCTGTCAATTCAAAACTCAAGAGTAGCTCAAAACAAAGTGAAGCAAAGGGCATGTGTCTCTAAAATTGGGGCTCAGACAGGGCTGCCCCTTGTGACCGGCCGTCCTCGCCAGAGCCGTGACAGCTAATCAAAGACGGGACGGGTGCAGAAGGAAGTCAGTGGGCACGTGGGGAAGCAGATGGACACTGCTTTCTCCGCACAGCAGCTAAAGCCCTTCCACGTCGTTTACAGGACAGCACCCTGGACCGTGCTCCCCACATGGCACACAGGAAGGACAGGAGGAGGTGGACGGGCACAAGGCCGTGTGAGCGGGTCCACGATTCTCAGATACCTGTCGTGCTCCCAGGTGAGCAAACTGGCCGTGCGGAAAACTGACCCTCAGTTCCCTCAGGGAGGCCAGGGTCCAGCGACAGGTGTCTACTCCCGCGTCACTCTGTGCCTTCTGCTTCAGGGCACCCAGGCCCTTGTAGGGTCGGAGGAGAGGGAGGGGGCCACTCCGTGACGAGACCTGGATTGTAAAATAAAATCAAAGGGGGATCCAGTTACCTTCACGTTTGGAGCCTCCAGGAAATCCTGACGTCATCTGATGAGGCCTCCAGACACCCTGACTCCGTATATGAATTCACTAGAGTCTGAGAAGGTGGATGGACAATGATGGTTCCTGGGAGTATTTGTTGTTGTTGTTGTTGTTACTGTCCACTGAGATCCAACTGTCACAGGAGGAGATGGCCCCTCCTTCCCCAGCAGACCATCTGGTGGATTCGAGTAATGTGCCTTCGGGATTGCAGCACAGCTTCTTGCACCAGAGCCCCCTAATCCTGATGATAATATCAATGCTTCCGTGTGATTTCACAGTCTGACCACCTCGGACCCCTGGCTGTGAGGACTAACTCTCCTCGGCTCCCACCTGAGAGGTGAGGCGGAGACAGTGTGGGTCTCTACTTACCTGGAACCATGACAGGTAACTCACACGCCATGCAAACACTTGCACCTCGGGTCTGTCAGGGAGTCCAGGGTCCAGCGAGGAAGGTGTCTGTCTGCTCAGCCATGGACCTTCGAGCCTTCAGCACACACGCTGCTGTGGACATGACGGGAGGGGAGGGAAGCCCAGGGGCCAATCCTGGATTGTAAAACCAAGTGAAAGGAGCAGCCTGTGAGCAGGGAAGTTACCTGTCCTCACCAGGGCAAATAAAGCACATTCTGAGCATCCCGGGTTTTAAGAACCACTTTAGGAAATAGAATGGGAGTGAAGAAACAAGTCTGGGCCGTCTGGGCAGCTGATGGACACAGACGGGTGCTGACACCAGGTGAAATCCTTCCTGTGATTTTACAGGCTGGTCACCCCGGATCCCAGCTGTGTGGACTCCCTGCCCCACACCTGCCGAGTGGACAGAGGATGGGCAGGAGACAGTGTGGAGTGAGAAGATCCAGGCCCCTCTGCTTACCCCGGACCGCGATAGGAAGCTCACTGACCTGCTAAAAACTCCGTCTCAGCTGCATCAGGGAGTCCAGGGTCCAGTGAGGAAGGTGCATGCTCACCTATGTCACTTGAGGCCGAATCCTTCAGCGCACACAGTGTTTCTTGAGGTGGTGGGAGAGGAGGGCCATCATCTGGCGGAAGCTGGACTGTAAAATCTAATTAAACAGCCTGTCAGCATAGAGTTTGGACTCAGATGTCCAGTAGAGACTCGCTCGATGATTGTCTTTTTCTCAGACCCGTAGAGTCAGAGCAGCTGACTCTATTGGGGTGAGCGACACCGTGTTACTCAGGCCTCAGGATCCTAGAGAAATGCATGTATACAAGGGTTTTTCACATGTCCCCAGAAGCAGCAGCTGTGGCTCCTGTAAGAAGATGGAGTCGTACAGATAACCTTGGACACAGGGCACCCACCACAGGCCCAGGACTCCGGGTCCAACTGTTCCTTTGTGTGTCTAGAAGTTGGGTCAAAGCAACCATAATCCCAGTTCACCATCGTGGTTGGAAAGGACTCAGAGCTGACCCTCCAGTGGGTCTGCTAGGACTGTCCATCCCCAGGGAGGTAGATAGGGCTTCCTTCTCTCTGAGCTCCTGGTGGATTTGAACCGCTAGAGATGAAACAAAACTCCCCGAGGGTTTTGCTAGCATCAGGCAACTTTATTTCTGTAAGGAATCTGCCTGGGTTTCACTTGACATTTATGAACTGAACAGGGTTTCTGGACAGACAGAAAAATGCCACAGAACAAGGCCTTGCACTGTTTTCGTCTCCTGTGTGGCTTAACTCTCATAGTCACTGTTCTCGTCTCCTGTGTGGCTTAACTCTCATAGTTGGCTGTCCATCTCCAGTATTTTCCCCCAGGAGGAAGGCTCAGAATGTGCCAACCTCGTCTGAAACCTCCCAGGAGGGAGGACCCTGGAGAGAGGAGTGAGCACCGTCCTTAGCACCAGGCAGGGCGTTCCCCGCGTTTCCTCAGCCCCAGGCAGGGCGTCCTGCATTCTGTGTGCTGCAGACCTGCCGTGGGAATGTGGAACCGCAGAAAGGAGAAATACACAGACAGGTTATATTTCTGTTAATAAGTCATGACCAAGGCCCCGCTGAACTCCAGTGGGTTTTCGTATGTTAGTATGTTTAAACATAGAAACTGGACTGTGTCTCAGTCCTCAAAGAACAAGTCCTCATACACATTGTGACATGGATTAATCTTGACCAAGTGGAATAAGTCAAGCGCCACTCAGATGTGTCTAGGCAACTGGAAGGAGATGGGGCGATACTTGAGAAGAACCAATTTGTATTCTGAAGGTCTGAAAATCTTGGAAACCAGTAACAGGGATGATGGTACAAGATGTGAGTGGCTAATGGCCCTAAACCACATTAAAACGGTGCTGATGTTGCTAAAAAGCTTGACTCTTATAACTATACTGTTCACTCCCCACTCCAAAAATTAAACAATTATGATAAAAAGAAACAGGAGTATGTCTGTTACAAGGGGTGGGGGGGAAGTCTCATGAACTATTTTCCAAGTATTTTGGAGAGAATCTAGTTCTAATGTCAGTTTCTTAATCCCTCCTTGGTGACCAGGAGAGAAAGGCAGGTCACTTTCCAGGAGTGTTATAAGTTCAGAAGACTGAAAGCAGATCCATTTGCTCTGAGATGAATCTTTGAGGTCCTGTTATGATGAGGTGATCAACTTAAAACTACGGAGTTTCAGAAAAAGAGACCTGAGTGTGAGCTGAGACCCTAGACGTGCTAATGGTGGTAAAACCCAGACCTGACAGTATATTGCCGTGTTCTGTCGATCCAGAACTGAGCCACTGCCCACCAGCTTGGGGGTAAATCACACAGGAGGAGACTGTCTCTTCCGAGCAGCTGGTGGATTTGAACCACAGGCCTGTGAGTTCTCAGTGTACCTATTCACTGCTAAGACAGGCACATATTTGGGAATAAAAGGCAACTTTATACTCAATAAACACAATAGGCTGGGACAACAGGAACTGAAGGAGAGTGAGCGAGTGGGCAGCTGAGTGCAGAGTGGGACAGAAGGTCTGGGACTGACCACGCGTCTCCCACAGGCGCCGACACAGCCCCTGTGAGGTTGGGGACCAATGGCCTGAACCCCTATTTTATACCAAAGAACCAGGGCTTTTCCCTCCTGGAGACAGAAAGCAGGAGGGGACACTGACGGCAAGGGGACATTCACTCCAGAGAAGGTGACTGCACCGTGTTCCCGCCTCAGACACGATATCCACGGTTGTGTCCTCCAACCCTGGGCGCAAGTCCTCTGAGCAAGTCACAAAAGTACGTGCCCGGAACTAAGTCCACACACGGGCGGGAGAAATTACAAATCCGCTCTCCCACAGGGACACACTTCCCACGCTGGGGTATCCCAGATCGGCAGAGGTTCATCCATCCACCACTCAAAAAGTAAATAACTACAGATGTTTTATGAAAATTAAAAAAAAGTAACATCATTTGAATCCATAGTCACGAGTTTACGGACATACTTCGTTTTTCTTTTGTGCCCTCAAGTCGCCTGCGACTCATAGTGACCCTCTGTAGAACCTGCTCTGTCCTGTGCCAATCTCACTTCCCCCAAATACCCAGTCACTGAATCACTCTATCTCATCGAGGGCCTTCCTCTCCTGTGCTGTCCCTCCACCCTTCCAAGCATGATGTCCCTCTGCATGGATAGGACCCTCTTTGCAACATGTCCACAGTATGTCAGAAGAAGCTTCAGAATCCTTGACTCCAAGGAGCACCTTGGTTTCACCCTCTCCAGGACAAACTTGTTTGTTTTCTTAGGAGGCCATGGTATATTCAATACTGCAACACTACAGCTCAAAGGCATCCAAAACAGGCCTCAGACAATCATTTTCAAAATCAACAAAACACAGAGGTTAAAAAAAATGCTGAATTTTTTTTACATAGTTTCTGTTGACATAGATGTTTACTGACATCTAATGACCAGTAAACACGTGGAAATAGGCCTCCTCCTGTCTCTCCCTCCCTCCCTGCCATCCAGTGGGATTTGATGCAGCGCTGACCCTCCAGCGAGGCTCCCAGGCTGTACATGGTGCAGGTGTAGGTCACCCGTCTTTCTCCTGAGGTCACCTACCTGGTACCTACCTCCAGAGAAATAACGGACCCTTGAAAGTAGGTGTGTGAAACACAATGATAGATGGAGAAGGGATTGAAGCCGTCAATGATTCCATTGTGCTTGGTACCAGCAGTCAGGAAATCAGGGGACCTATTACACTAGGCTTGTCCACTGCCAGGGAGCTCCCTAAAATATGGAAGAGCAATGATGTCAGTCTAAAGACTAAGGTGCATCTGATTCAGGCCCTGGTCTCTTCAATCACTTGCCATCCATCTGAGAGCTGCCTAAGGAATAAAGATGACAGAAGATTGGATGCCCCTGAGCTGTGCTGTTGGAGTAGAGTACAGAGTATCCCATAGACTGTCAAAAGCAAGCATAGTAGCTATGAGGGTGCAGACCTAGTGCTCCTTGTAGGCAAGGGTGATGAAGCGTTATCATTCATACATGTGCGAGGTGAGGCTATTATTTGGAAAGTGTTAGCATGCTTAGAAAGATGAAGAGTCATAAAAGGAGACAGTCAACAAGGTGAATTAACACTGTGGCTTTAACAATGGGCTGGAGAGTCTCAGAGATGTGAATGGCACAGAATAGTGCAGGGTTCACGATGCCTGTTCATAGGGGCGCTAGGAGTCATAATCTATGGCACCCAATAACAACTATATATGCTGAGTGAACTCAGTCTCAGAAGGACAAATACTGCTTAAGACTATGGTAAAAACAGAAGCATAACTAGTAAGATGTGGATAAAAATCCAAACTGTGCAAGAGACAGGGGAAAGAATGGGACTGAGAGACTGGGGAGGGAGAAGAAACACAGCGTTACAGTTTCATGGGCAGAGAAAAGATCTGAACGAAGTGGGGACTTGCAAAGGCAGGGTAACAGTGGGCACAGAGCCGTGTTGATTACATTTATAAAACACGATATGTGCAA